AGTTTGCTCCTTTCTGCACTTTATAAGAGACCATGATACCCTCTGGGGAAACGGACAACCTAGCCTTTTCCTCTAGTTCTTTCTCAAAATTTATTCATCTTTTACATTTTTATGTATGTGTTAGAGCAGCAAAGAAAGATCCATTCTGTTGGGATGTTCCCTGGATACACAGAATTTTTATTAATTTGAGGTTCATAAGTATAGTTTACTTATTTATATAGGACACTGTTAATGTCATTTAATAAAGTTTTATAATTTTCTCCATTCAACTTGTACATATATTTTCTTATGTTGATTTGCAGGTCTTTGATAGTTTTTTTGCTACTGCTTACAGTGAGATTAGTTTTTAAACTGAATCTTCAAATTGATTTTTGGTTTCTGTGTCAAGCTATGATGCCTTGGGGGTCTCCATCCCTCAGTTTGGGGAAGGAGCATTGCCATTATTTTGAAAGGACACCCCAATCTCCTCTGTTTCTCAGATGACTCTGTCCTGGATTTTGTTTCCAACACTTTCTTGAGTTTCTTTAAAGTCTGATCTCATGCATCTCTGTCCCCCCGAATATATTTTCACTTTGCCTGTTTTTGCTCTCGATGTAAATGGAGTCATTCAGCATATCTTTCTCCACAAGGTTTATTTCTTTGCTCAATGTTACACACCTGCCATTTGCTGTATTGTTCAGCCACACTCTTACATGTCATCGTAGTGGAGTAACTGTCATCCTTGTGTGACTCCACAATTTATCAGTCTGTTCATTCACTGATGGGCATTTAGGTGGGTTCCAGCCATTTGTTATTGTAAACGTTCTATTTGGAATCCTTAGTAGTATTTGCTGGTGCTTATGGAGAGAATTTCTCTGGGGCATATTTTGGGGTGAAAATTTCCTGTGTCGTAAGATGCATATGCATTCAAATTCCCTAGGAAACACCAAATTACTTCCCAAGCAACCTACTTACCTTGGGTCCTCACCAACATTTCATTTGATCAGACTTAAAATTTTAAGTTTGTAGGTATAAAGTAATATTTAATTGAAGATTTGCCTTTAAATATAGAAATGGAGATAAGTTCTCCTAACCCGCCCACTCTCCAATGTCAGTGGGGGCACTAAAGTTAACAAAAGGAGAAATTGTCGTGAAAATATCTTATGAATTGAGACATCTGGCACACACTGAGACATGACCACTCTTGATGAGAAGAGAGGACCTGAAGCATAGATAGGTAGTGTAGAAGCAGCTGAAGACCCTGCCTTCTCCAGGTGAGCAACTTCCTACCTTGGAGAAGAATATCTTCTGCTGCCAGGCCTGAGGATTGATGGACGTCAATCCTTGTCACGTCTGTCACACTCCTACCCCTTGCACTGGGGACTGTCCTGAGCTGGGATCAAGAACAAGTGAATGAAAAGGCACTGTGCTCAGAGCAAGTTTCTTTGTTTTTATCTGGCAGCTGGAAAATTCCTGAAGAATAAGCAGAGCTACATTTCAGGAACTCAGTGGTTAACACATTAGAAATGTGTGTCTGGTGCCCAAATAATCCCTGGAACGCCTTACCATTAAGGAGCATAAATCTAGGTCATTACTGCTGACTCAGCCAACTTAATAATTGTCCTCAATTTTTCTGTTTTTTTCATTCTTTTTTTCTCTCTCCTCTGTCACTTGATGGATGTCAGGATGGGCCCTTCCTCTGTCTTTTGAGGTCCTGATCTGACAATCTATAGACTCAAACATTCTGCAAAAGCAGAAGGCAATTTCGCATTCTTAGCATTTCTGCAGGTCAGCGAGGCTTAAACTAAGGGGATTTTTGCCTAATAATTCTCAGTTGGCTTAAATCGCCTCTGGGTGTGAAGGTGCAGTGCTGACTTCAGCAGAGATCTCCAAGACTGCCAGAACTGATGAGTAAGCTCTCAGATGTGCTCAGAAGGGAAGATAAGGGCTTTGTTCAGGCCCCTGCTGCTGGCTGGGGTCCAGACAGCTGTGTTTCATGGAAGAGTTCAGTGTACCGTGAGAATGAATGTCCACAAGATATTTATATTGAGTGTTTGAGTGCGTGCACACACACAGGCTGAATTTGACCAACTAGCAAGAATCAGCAACCCTAAAAACACACGAACCGAGCCTTGTGGGTCTGTGGACCTTCACATATGCAAAGGTCATGGAACCTGCAAGACTTTAACTGGTGACTCTTCTTGGTCCTGAGTGGTATGCAATAACTATAAATGTCCTGACTATGTTTACCAAGCACCACTGCATGTCAGGCATGATGCTGGTGCTGGAGACAAGGGGGTGAAACAAGAAGACATGATTCCTGTCTGCCTGGAAGAGGCAGTCTAGCAGGAGAGACAAGTAAGTGTGTAAACAAATACATGATCTGGTACCGTAGAATTAGAGGACGCTTTCTATAGGGTGTGAAGGTGACTCAGTCAAGTTGACACGTAAAATTAACCACCACATCAATATATGCTTTAGAGGCAGAAAGTACAGGACTTGATGATCAGCTGTAAAGGTTGGGGGTTGGTGGAGAGAGAAAAGGAGAACTCAGGAGACACAAATCCATGTTTCCAGCAATGGTGTATGGTGGGGGGTTTCCCTGGGCAGAGAAGACTAATGGGCAAGAGGATCCAAGTGCTGACTGTAGAGGGTTAAACTGAGATATATATAAGAGCTCTAATACTGTACACGACATGAAAATGAGCCTCAGCCTCACAGAGAGGTGTAAGTGGAGAGTGTGGGCGTGGGTGTTGTAAACATGGTGCTCAATCTGTGGAGGCTGAAGGGGACCACAAGGAGTGGGCTGGAGAGAGAAGGAAAATGCTGGTCCAGGAAGAAACTCTGCGGCCCACCAGCATTTAGAGGTGGGAAAAATGATTCTCCTTTATGTGACTTTGACCATGCAGCTGCTGGCCATCATAATCAATGCCATTTACCTGCTGCCTCTGCTGCCTTTTAAGCTCCACCACCTGACTTCCAAGCCACACGTCCGTGATGAGCCTGTCACCTCTGATGGAGGTCTCTGTGCCCCTGGCTGCATGGAGACAACCACAGTGGAGGGACATCCTCGAGTTCCTCCACCCCTTCCAGCTCAGCGAGTTCCCTGCCCCACTGCAAGGCCTTGTTCCAATTCGAGTCCTCTCAGGGAACTTTCTCATCTCACAGTGAGGTGCTTCTTTCTCCACTGTCTCCTAGATTTTGCAAATGTCTTTTTGGGGAGCTCATGAGGACTACTTCTTTACTCTTCACTGCAGTGTTTGCTAAGCTCATAATAAACCCTTGATGCTTTGGAAGAAGTGAACAAATAGATATCTAAAATGCTCAGTGGGCTACTCAGGGTTCTCTAGAGAAAGAGACCAACTGTGTGTGTGTGTGTGTGTGTGTGTGTGTGTGTGTGTGTGTGTGTGTGTTTTATGGTAAGGAATTGGCTCATACAATTGTGAGATCTGATGGTGTAAATCCTACTCCAAGTCAAAGCTCTGAGAAGGAAGAGAATGAAGGTGATGTAGGACCTGTCTTTGATGGTTTGCTTTTGTCACCTAGCAGTAACAAAGGTCACCAACCTTTGAATTTGACACCGTGGCATTGTGATGAGGATGCACGTGACTATGGCAGGTAGTGTGTGTCCTGTGCCAGGCACCACGCCTCCCTATTTCCTCTGCTAGGCAGTGGCCAATGGATGTGCGGGTCATAAAAAGAGTATGTGGCATAATTTTCCTCAGGGGAGAGGTTATTTCTTAGAAGGGTGATTAGTGTGGGTCATATGGGTCTTCCAAAAATGTCAGTTTAAGTGCTAACCCATCATCCCTGCACATGTGACCTCACCAGTTACAGGGTCTGTGCAGATGCCACCAACTTCGGGTGAAGTTAAGGGTCTGTAGCTTGACAGTAGAGTACTTGCCTGGCACGCAGAAGGCCCTGAATTCTATCCCCAGCACCAAAACATAAAAAATGTGGTTATACCAGATTGTGGTGCAGCCTAATCTAATTATTGGTGAGTCTGTAAGAAGAGGGAAATTTGAGTCCAGACCCAGGAAAGGCACCATGCGTTGACAAGGGACAGAACTGACCATATCTCAACTCCAAGGAGCAAAGGATGGCCTGCGACCACAGAAGCTGGGAGAAGCAAGGAGGATCAGACACAAAAGCCTTCAGAGAACATGTGATCTTGCTGGCAGCTTGATATAGGACCAAGGCTTCAGCCTGCAGGTCTATGAGACCCAGCATTGCTCCTATTTTAAACCACCCAGTTGATATTTCGTGTTATGGCCTTTCCAGGACTCTTAATACCTGATGCTGTGGACCTGCGCTTCTACATAGAAAAGACAAACCTAGCCAATCATTCTCATGCATCCTCAGGGAAATCAAGGGCATCTGCGATCCAGAAGAAGAAGCCTGGCCCGTGTATACAGAAGGGAGTAAAAGAAACAAAGATTCTGGGAGAATGCATGACATTTAACAAAATCAGCGTTTGAAGCATTTCTCTACCATCCAGTTGCTGAGCTGAGATTTTATTGTTGGGTTCATAAATTAACTAAATGAGCACGGTACCCCTGCAGGGATCCAGTTTTGGGGTGCTCACAAGAGCACAGGCTTTGGGGTCACACAGACGAGGCTCCATCTTAGATTCTCGACTTGCTAGCCAGTGACTTTGGGCAGGCCAAGGCCCCTCACTTCCTCCAGCCTCCTCCTCCTAGGATGCTCATCCACAGCCTTCTTCTGCAGAGTCAAAGAACTAAGATTTATGATAAATGCAGGACACTGTTCTGCTCTTGGATACAAAACAATCTGTCCCCAGCATCTCCTCCCCAAAGGGACAATCTGTCCTCAGTGTAAATTGGAGCATCACCAAACAATTTAGGAGCAGACATTGAGGGAAGGAGGGTGAAACACAGCCAGACACCTGCATTTGACAGACACGAGGAGAACGATGCAGCACGTGACACCCAGGAACTCCCAGGAAAAGTGTGGAGTGAACCATTTGACACCTGCCACGAACAAACACAGCAGGGCGCCTATTTCTCACTGTGAAAATAGTCTTTATTTGATTTTCACCACCTTTCTATGAAAGAGTGGTTTCTGTCAGCACTACAAATACATTTCAAAAGCAGTAATAAGATTTCTTTTAAAATAGAAGGAAGAAAAGTGCTGGGAGAAGGTAAAATATAAAATAGAGGCTTGGTTACGTGTAAGCAGGTTCCTATCAAGAAAGAAAAATGCTACCATTCAATCGAAGCAGCAATAAGGACACACTAGTTTGCCTGTTCTCTAGTTATTTGTTCATTCATAAAGAAGAAGCTGCTGAGCCTCTTTCTCCAGCACCTCTAACCACCCTGGCAAGATGTAACCAAGCTGGCTGCTAACTCTGTGCTCTGAGGAGGCTTCTGGGTAGGAGCCTCAACCCTGCTTTCCAGGAGGGAGAGACTGTGATAGGTTCAGACACTTCAGGAACAGGGAGGGAGGCCTGTGGGCTTGTGATCTGACAGCTGGCACAGCCCAATCTTCTTGGGTTGTTCTTTTGGCCTGGCTGCCTTATCTCTGACGATCTGGCGGGCTGCTGGTCACTGGGATTGGGTATTCCAAGGCATTGCAGTCATCTGACAGAAAGACCAAGTCCTGCAAAAAATGCATGGTGAGTAGGGTGTTCCTGAAGGTGGCCTGGGGCTATGTCTGAGTATAGGGCTTAGACCGTCCAAATGTTTCCACTGCGTGAAAACTTCTCACTCTAGACTCCCCCAAGCAAGAGCCGGTCCCTTCTTTCTTCATGTTCCTATAGAATTTCATGTGATCTTAATATTCTTATTTATAGGATTCACTCATATGTTGGTTGACCACATGGGTGGGTGGTCAAATGGGCAGGACAGTGGATGAATGAACGAATGAGCAATTTCACCTTGATTACTGAGCAGTACCTCAGGACCAGGCACTGGACACACTGTGCAGAACAGCACTGGTTCTCACCTTTGGTGCCTTACAGTGACTACACATCACTTGCCGATATTATCTTCCTGTGTCTTCCCCTACCATGTTGGCTAGGGCTGAATGTTCACTTGCTTGATTTTGAGATCTACCCAGGGGTCTGGGGGCTCTGCAGACACAATTGTGGGTGTGTCTGGGTGACCTAGGAGTTTCTGTCTGCTCCCTCACCCCTTCCTCTCCGCCTCTGTTTCCCTGCTCTGCTCCTGGGCCACCATGAACTAAGCACCTCTGCTCCACCACATTCTTCCACCATGATGTTCCTGCCTTGGAGCCAGCCAACCATGGACGGAATCCTTTGAAACCATGGCCTAGAAACCTTGCCTCCTTTAACTTGTAGGTGTCAGGAATTGTGCCACAGTCACAGGAAAGCTGACTAATACGCCCACGGACCAAGGAGAGAGGATAAGAAGAGGGTCAGGGCTTGGGAGGAAATACAGAATCAATCTTTGCTATAAGGACAAAGAAATGAAAACTTAATGACTCATCACTAAAAAATTTAGAAAGGGTTTGCTGTGGCCAGCAGCTTCAAGGAACTCTAGGCCCGGTTACCCTCCTAGGCATCTTAGGAGGGAGGCACCTGTGACGGTGATGGCACACTGCAAGTGTGTCATCACCATCATCCTTCCAGCGTGGCGGAAGGCGGGCACTGTTCTATCCCCAGTTCGTGTGTAAGGACACTGCTCCTCACATGAAAAGGAAGACAGCACACAGTACAAGGCACCTGGAGCTGGTGTCTGGGCCTGAGGGCATTAGGCTTTCTGACTTTCTCCCCTCACCTACCAGAACCTTGGATCACAGAGCACACCTGGAGTCTCACTGCCTGCCCCACGCACCCTGAGTGTGGCCCCCTGTTTGTGTGCAGCTGCTGGAAGTAAAGCACCTCAGTCTGACTGCTCATCTCAGAGAGGGTTCGGGGTAGCTCACAGACTTTCTGTACAGGAAGAGGCTTCTAAACCTTCTGGCTCAGCCCCGGGACCCACCCAGCCCTCTACCCCAAAAGCTCAGCGTGTCCTGCCTGGCAGAGGGCAGAAAGGACTCGTCAAGCACACACGCACCCGCCTGCAGAAGGAGTTCATGATGATGTAGAGCTTCCGCACTTTGTCCTTCAGGGCGTCCACCTGGGCCACTCTCCAGCACTGCGGTGAGGCCACGAAGTCACGCAGCTTGGCCAGCACACAGTAATTCTGGGATGGGCAGCAAGTGGGAGGAGTCAGCGGCCAAGGGGCGGGGGCTAAGCTCCCCTGCTCCTGTGCAGACCCGACCCAGGCTCCCCACTCCAAGCTATGCCATCAGCAGCACAGGTTCAGACCACCCTACCACCCTCCCTGCAGGCAGAGCATCTTACATGGATGTCCAGGTACAGACGGGGCAGGTACCGCACACAGGCTTCCTGCAGAAAAGACTTGCGTCACTGGGGTGCTCACAGGGACATGTGCTCCGCCTGGTCCCAGAGTGCACCCTGGCAGCCTGGCCCACAGCCAGCCCAGCCTGGTCCGGACCCTTCTCAATGGAACAGCATCCACAGTGTCACATGTACCCCAAAAAAGGCAACCATTCTTGCAGGAATCAACTTTTAGAGCCCAGCTCTTTTTTTTTTTTTTTTTTTTCTCTGGTACCAGGAACCGAACTCACAACCTTGCGCTTGCCAGGCAGGCGCTTTTGCTGCTGAGCTAAATCCCCAGCCCCCTAGAGCCCAGCTCTTATAATATTTATATTAGGGCACTGTATCACATCCCCCCACATGCACAAACATCTCTAGAAATACAGTAATGTACACTATAGTACTGTGTTATGTTTATGCACATATGTAAGAATTTTAAAGTTGTTATATGGTAGTTGCATAGGTTCACACAGATATATTTATATATAAATAATATATAGTAACAAACATATGCGATTTATATTACTTATATAATTTAAATTCTTAAGTGCAACCCAAAGTTAGTAAACTGCACAATGTCTACAGGTGTGTTTATCTGTGTGCTTCCACACTGCTGTATTTTATATTTATGCCTTAAGGATTCACAGGCCAGGAGACTACATGCATGCCTGTTCTTTAATAATTCCATGTGATCTTGGACAAATAACTTCCTTTTCAACGACAGTTTCTCAACTGTGAAATGAAAGAGGTGGGATACATAATCTTTCCACTTCCTTCCAGCTCTGCAATTCTGAACCTATAATTGTTTTTTGCTTTTGTTTTTTTTTGGTTTGGTTTTTGTCTTCTAAAATCATATTCCTTTAAAAGGTGAGCACTCTATGTATTGGATAGCAAAGAACTGTGGATAAGTAGTGCAACTATCCAACAAAATGCACAAAGCAATGAACTGATTTGATGGTGTCATCAGTGAGCCGTAGACTTGCATGTGCCTTTTGATCCAAATTTGCACTCTTTACCTCCAGTGCCATATATTTTTGACCACTTCTACTTAGACAGGAAGCGGAAGTACCATCCTCCCAACTCTTAGAGCAGCAGTTACCTCTAGGGGTAGAATTACAGGCAATGTCTATTTTCTTCTTTGTCCTTTGTTCATTTTCAACCATATGTTACTTTTATGATGAGACATACATGCATGTCCTTTAAGTTTAAGGCCCAACATCTGAGAAGCACTAGGTTCACTTGAAGCCTTTACAAACAATTAAGAGATAATTTTAAGTTTTACCCAAGCTCTTAATAAAGTGTAATGGTGTCCATTTTTGCTCTGGATAAACAGTGAAAGGACTAGATTCTTGGCCACAGCTGCCCCTCTGGGGATTCCCCTCCAGAATGCCTGGGCTGTGCTCTGAGCTAACCGGCAGGCTCCTTCCAGCCTCTCTGCACCCAGGGCAAGGGTGGGGTGCTTGTCACCCTATGTTACAGGGAGGGAAGCTGAGACAGGAGGCGGAGGGCACGGAGGGGCACCCCGCAGTCACTCAGCAGGAGAGGGTGGAGGCCAGCTCTGTGTCACCCTTGGCACTTGGCACTTGGCAGCTTACACTTCACCAGCTGACAAGGGGCCAAATAAAGCCTGACTCTTTAACCTAACTGCTTAACTCTCAGGTTTAGAGTGGGTGGGAGCTGATCTTTTCTGTCATTTTCTTTTCAGTTTTTTATGTTTCACAAAGGCTTCTCTGATCTTTGCTAGCAAATCCAACAAAACTTGTGTCTTTGATTCCTTTTCCTCCTATTAAAAATTTCCCTCCCTCCTTTCCTCCCTCCCTCCTTCCTTGTCTCCCTCCTTGCCTCCCTCCCTCCCTCCCTTCTTTCCTCTGCACTGGTTATGGAACACAAAGGTGCTCTATTCTCTACCCCTGAGCCACATCCCTAATCTCCCCACCTTTAAAAAAAATTTGAGGTAGGGTCTCCCTAATTTGCCTAAGTTGGTCTCGAACAGCCCTCCTGCTCAGCCTCCACAGCGGAGAGCTGTGCTCACAGGCCTGTACCACCACGCTTGCAAGGAAAGCTTCCAAGAGCTGGCTTTGTGCTAGGACTCACCACAGGCGCTGCAGTCTGCAGGAGCTGGAAGTCCCCGGTGATCTCCCTGCTGAGGCCCAGCATCCGGGAGTAGCAGGTCGGGGGCGCGGGCTTTGCTGCCGGAGGCCCAGCAAGGAGCAGCAGGAGGAGCAGGGCCAGCGTGCAGGGAGCCATGGTGCCGGCTCCTGCAGGCACTGCACCCCTTATAAAGGCCTGGGCTGGGGGAGGGCCAGGGCCAGCTCCCGCCTCTGTTTCCTGTGGGGCCAAGGCCAGGGGTCCAACTGGCGGGAAGGTGTACGACACACCCACCGGCCGGCCCCATCCTGAGGATGGGTCTTGTGAGAGGACTGGCCTGGGGCGGAAGCACCTGGGAGGGAGCAGGCCGGCTGCTCCACAGCCCACAGGAGCCTCATCTGTGAGAGGCCTGGGGGCAGGGTGTGGAAACCCAGCAGCTGGGTCAGAGGCCAGGACGTGCCACTGTGCCCACACAGAGGGGCTGATTTTAAGGCTGGCTCATCTAATGGAGCAGAACCGGGGGCTGGAGTGACCAGACATGCCCCAGCAAGCTCATTCCCTCCAGTCTGGGGTCAGGCAGGCTGGGTGTCAGCCACCGGGGTCCAGCCCCTGACCTGGCAAGAGGCCCCAGGTGGGGGCAACACCTCCCCCAACCCACAGCGTCCTTCGGTCTGGTGGCTGCCCTGGCACCCAGGGTGTGGGAGCCTTTCTGAGGCCCAGCACAGACCCATGAAGTGGGCACAGGAAGGGCTGGTTCTCCAGATGATGACCTTGCAGTGCTGGGGCACGGCCAGCTAGAGGAGGGAACCCCACTCTGAGGCTTGAATGCCAGGGTGCAGAGCAGGGCCACCCCCTTCTGGCTACAAGTGGCCTTGGGCTGACTTCTTTTTATTCTTCTCCTTCTCCTCTTCCTCCTCCTTGGACAGTAAACCTAGGGTCTTTGCACTGAGCTACATCTCCAGCCCTTCAATTTACATTTTTTTTTTTTAAATTTTCAGACAGGATCTTGCTAAACTGCCCAACCTGGAAGTGGAACTTGTGATCCTCCTGCCCTAGCCTCCCACAATGCTGGGGTTATGGGCGTGCACCATCTGTGATCCAGTGAGCCAGTTTCTTACGTTGCCCTCTCCTCACAAGCACGGTGGACTGACAAAGTCCCTAACTGGGAAGGCCAGAGGAGATGTTGGGGGGCTAAGCAAGAAACAGGCCAGGTGCGCTGCGAGGATCCGCCGGGTCTGAGCTTACCAGATACCTCGCCGTACCTCGCCATCTCTGTTGAATCCTTCAAGTGTGTTTCCACAGGCGCTTGCCTCAGAAAAAGGCCCTGCTTACCAGTGGAGAAACCAAGGCTCAGAGAGCTCCAGCTGCAGGCTGAGCTCAGGAAGCTTCGTGCTCTGAGGGAGAGCAGGGGCAGAGCCAGGCGCCCGCGTAGCCCCTCAACAAACAGCCGAAGATGACGACCGCAGGCAGCAGGGAAAGGGAGCATGGTGTCCTAGGCACAGGGCCGACCCTGTAAACAGGTAGCATCACCCTGGGCGACGTCTGCGGTCACTTCCGGTGCCCACGTTGTGTTGATCTAGTTTCTGGTGTGCACAGCCCAGGGCAGGGAGCAGAGCTGTGCCTTCCTGTTTTGGATGCAGCGGTGTGTTCTCTAAACACAGCCCGTGAGCAGACCCTGACCCAGACCCAGGCCACGTGTCTGGCAGCCGCTCAGACGGGGCAGGACCGCGGGTGCTGGAGGCGGCTGCAGCCCACAGACCTGCTTCCTCTGGACAGAGCCTCCAGCTCCCTCCCTGCTGGGGCCGGGTGTGGGCCTCGCTGGCTGACTTGAGCCCAGGTCAGCCCCAAATGCTCCAGAGCTTCTGGGTGAGCTCATTACAGGCCTTAAATTCAGAACTGGGGAGAAAACAAGCCCAGGCATCAAGTAATTCTTGCAGCCTTTAGCCCCAGGAGCCGTTGCCACGCTGGGCATCGGGGTTCTCTGCTCGTCACTCCTGGAAACTGAGGTTAATGTGCTGCTGGAGGAGCAAACAACTTCCCCAGTACATGGTGTAGGCCTTGGCCCCAGCTTTGGGGATTCTCAGAGGTGCACTCACACAGAGTTCAGGGCATCTGTTTGTAGGGCTGATGAGTGACAGCCTCACCCCTCAGTGCTTCTGGTTCCCAGTGAGATGTGGGGATGTCAGGGCTCCCAGGAGTCACAGTCCAGGAGAAGGCAGAGGGCAGGGCCTCAGCCATGCCCCAGGGCCGCCTGCAGCTCACGCTGACCCGGCAGAGCCTGAAGGAGCTGGGGAAGCTCCCAGGCAGGTGGCCGTGAGCAGTGTGACGGTGCATCCAGGGTGTCCCAGCTTTTTTAGGTCCCAGGGCCCCTTGCTGAGCATGAGCGTGGTGACACACGGGTTTTGCCAGCTGGTGTTTGTCCCTTCATTAGCAGTGCCCTTAGTAACAACACTGATCCGGTTACTCAGCACCCAGCCCGGCGGAGCAGGAGCACTGGGAGACAGTGCCCAAGTCCTGCATGGCTGCTCTTGCCGCTCAGAGTGGAGGATATGCCTGACAAGAAACCCATGCAGTGGGGCTGGGGTGGCCCCGTCTCTCAGTGGTGAGAGTGGCCTGTGTGTTTGAGTAAGTGTGAGAGTCGCCCTGTGTGTGAGAGGCCCTGGGTTCTGTTCCCAGCATGGCCCAAACAGAAAGAGAAACCCACATATTCTGACTTTCACGGGCTCCCTGGGGGACCCTGAAGCTAGACTGGCTGGGAGGGGCCAGGACTGTCCTTCCTGGCAGCCAGCTGCTGCCTCCAGAGCCATGGAAAACACCCACCTGCAGTTCCAGCACTCTAGGAGGTTGAGGCAAGTTCGAGCCCAGCCTGCGAAACTGAGACAAATAAGACTTTATTGCAAAATTTAAAAAAAAAATTTTTAAAGGCTGGGGATGTAACTCAGTGCAAAGGCCCTGGATTAAGTCACCAGTATTGGAAACAAAAATCCAGGCAGGAATCTCCCCATAGGAAAGGAAGATCTTTGTCATTCTCTAAACGTCTCCCCAGGCACAGACTCCATGTTCCTCCTCAACCGCACAGCCAGAGCTTGTGTGTGTGCAGGCGTCTCCGAGAGATGCAGCCCTTTTCCTCAGGTGGCTTTTCCTTCCCCAGGCACCTCGTCTACTGACCACCCGCTATGCGCCGGGCACTCTGGCGGCCAAGGACAAGACAGTGACAGAGACACGGCACTGACTGCTATTCTCACGGGGGAGAATAATAATGGCAGTTCATGCACTGGATAAAGACTCACACTTTCTCATCCCTGTCCTAAAAGGTGGCATCTTCCCAGCGCCTGCTGGAGAAAGTCTGTGCTCTGCACCACAGCAGACCCTCGCTGCGTCCTGTCCTTGTCTCCTCTCCCCCACGTCTCAGGGCGATTGGCTGGACTGGGGCTTCCTCTGGCCACGGCACCTGTGCCCCATGCAGGGCAAGGGTCAGAGGAAGTGGGGGCTCTCAAAGCCCTAAACAGCCCTTAGTGAGGACCGGAGGAAGGCTGGTTAAAACTATGTGGCTCTTCTTGGCCCAGCCCTAGGTGGCCACAAGGCTTTAGCTGTAGTCCCATTGGGGCAGGTAGGGGGGCTGCCCTCCCGACCCAGACCTGGCAGACCTGGCCCATGGCGGCTGGCTAAGGGCCCCCAGGCACGGGCTCGGGCCACTGGGCTCCATGCTGTCCAGGCTGTGTGTGGCCGCTTCACTCCTAGGTCTTTGTCTGGCTCCCCAGCATCTTTGTGAGCCTCTGTGGACTCCGCCTGGGGACCTCAGAGCCCCTAACCTGCCCCTGCCAGTCCACCTGCCCCTCCACTCCAATGGCCAGACCAGGGGTGGAAGCTAGAGCCAGACTCTTCTGGTCCAGCCGTGGGTGACTCAGGTGACACTCTTTCCTTCTTGGAGGTGGCCTTGCGAGGTTGCCTGGGTGCCCGCAGCCCACCTCCCTCCCAGCTCAGCCTTGCTCCAGGGACAAGCTGTGCAAATACCCTACCTCCTTTCCCGTGTGTGGAGACCATCCTGGGGCAAGTTCTTCAGTCCCTATGAAGTTCTCTCAGTCCCTCGTCTCAATGTCCCTGGCAGGACGAGGCCCCAGGACCCAGGCTGGAAGGTGGTTGGTGGCTCCGCAGTGCCCTGTTGGCTTCCTTCCTGCCTCACACCCCTTCTCCACCAGAGTCTTCTAGGCTCCATCCCAAGCAAACCATTTTCACTCAGGTTCTTGCCTCAGAGTCAGCTTTTCAGGAAACCCCAACAAAGACTTGGGTACTGGCCCAACAAAGGTGGCAGGGCAGATGTGATCCGTTCAGTCCAGTGAGGGGCTGCAGAGCTGGGACACAGGGGGCAGGTGGAATGGGGAATGAAAGATCATCATGATGCCCACCACACTCATTCTTTTCTAATGAGGGGCATCAGAGACCAAGATGCCGTGTTCCATAGCTGACACACCCTACATCTCCCTTCTAAGTGTCTTCAACTCCCTGCTGGAAGACAACACACCTCAGCTGCTAATACTGAACTGCTTTGGTCCCAATGTCCTCTCTAGGCCTTCTGCTGAAATGCGCTGGTCACTGCATTAAGTGTTGTGGATGGAGAGGGGGTACCTTTGGGAAGTGGTTGGGTCTTGGGTCTCTCTGTCCTCACAAGGAATTACCGTCACTGTCCAGGAACTGGGCTAGTTTTCTCAGGGACAGGTCTGTTGCCCCCTTGGGCTTCCTCCATGGCTGACCACTAGATGCCATCCTTTGTGCCTCTACCACGGATGATGGTAACACCATGCTTTTGGAGTTCCCAGCCCCCAGAATTGGAAGCCAAATAAACTCCTATTGCTTATAAGTTAGTCATCTCAGGTATTCTGTGATAGCAGCAGAAAGTAGACTAAGACACTCCCCCTTCGTGTGATGTAGTATTTTCAGGGCCTGGGACACCTTTTTGGCATTTGCAGAGAAAGAGCACTCGCTTAGCCTTTTCCCTTGGGCTCTTCCAGACCAGTGTGTTCCCACAGTGATGTAAGCAGCCAGGAAAGTACTCCTTGTTCTCAGCCCCCAGGGGGTTATGGGAAATTCCTGAGGGTACCATGGGAAACAGAGAGGCCCGGCTGTTGCTCTGGCCCCATGGAGCCTGGTGCCATGGAATACAGACCAGCACCTTTCTAGTCTGTGCCTTCCTATTGTCACTTAT